TTGGTATAGTGTGCAACGCGCGCTCCAAACACCTTTCGGGAGGCACAGAGATCCTCTCGGGATGCCCAAGATGCCTCTCGGGAATCCAAGGAGACTCTCGCAAGGTCCAGGAAGAGTTTCGGGAGGCCCAAGATGCTTGTGGGTTGGCCCAAGGGGCCTCTCGGGAGGCCCAAGGGGCTTTTCGGGAGTCCCAGGGCCTCAGGAGGAGGCCCAAACCGTATCAAGCGGCCCACAAGGCTCCTCGGGAGGCTCGAGACCTCAAGAGGTGACCCAAGGGCCTCTCGGGAGGCCCAAGAGGCTTCTCGGAAGTCCCAGGAGGCTTCTGGGGAAGCCCACAACGTTACACCATTCCATCAAGGTCGATTACGCCGACTATACCAGAACGCTTCTGGGGATTCAGCCCCTGATTTCTGGGATTTGAATTGCCGGGGATTTCTTTTTTCACCCCCGCGTCCCCCTAAAGCCGCGCACCAAAGGTCCCTGTTGCCTAGGGTGTCACTGTTGCGCGTAGCCGTTGCCGCCTTCAAGGTCCCGCGCTTGCCCCGCAATCTTGAAGGTCCCTACAGGAGTGGTGGATGTGGATAGCAGCCCGCCCCTGAGAGCGGGAGAGTATCCTTACGTCGGGCCTGTCCCTCTACAGGAGGAATATTCAAAAACAATAAAAAAATATCAGGAGACGATTTTTTGTTTATTTTCGGGATTTTCTGAGTATGGTTTGATTATTCTTGTTCTTTCGTCCAAAGCCCCCCTGTAGGGGGACAGGCCCGACCTGAGAGTATCCACATCCAGCACTCCCTGGCCAGCTCGGGGCAGGCCTCCAGCAGCTGCGGGTGTGGCTGCACTTCCCGGCGGTCGCCGCGGCATCGGGGCGGCCTGGCCGCGCCCCGGGCCCTGGGGTCCGTCCCTCGGGGGGGGACGGGTTGGGCCGCGGGCTCCGCCGGCCAGCGGCGGTGGGGCAGCGGCGAGCCTCGCCCAATCGTGCTTTTCCATATGGCGGCAGGCTGCGGCAGGGGGGCGGGCGGGCGGGCGGGCGGAGGGAGCCAGGGGGGCGCGGGGAGGAAGGCGGAGGTGGCGGTGCGAGGGATTGCCAGGCGGAGCGGCGAAGAGGGGGGGAATACGGACGAGGGATAGAGGGAGGTGGTACTGGATATATATATATATAGAGAGAGAGAGAGAGAGAGAGAGAGAGAGAGAGAGAGAGAGAGGGAGGGAGAGAGAGAGAGATATGGAGAGAGAGAGAGAGAGAGATAGAGAGAGGGATAGAGAGAACATGTAAATGCACATCTAGAATATGAACAAATACTGTCCCCTCCCCCCTCTTGGCTACGCGAACCTCGCAACCATCTGTGGCAAATCCCGGGTACCACTCTCCCGGGCGTCCAAGAGAGCCCCCAGAGTGCCTCAAGACGGCCCAGGACGCCCCCGAGACAGCCCAAGAATTCTCCAAGGCTGTCTAAGACGGCCCCTCGACGGTTCTGGAAGCCCCCAACGAGCCCCCAAGATCGCTTCAAAGGGCCTCCAAGAGTCCCCCAAGAGCTCTGGGGAAACCCTCGAGAGGCCGAATCATTGAAAACCAAAGGGAAGTCTATGATTTTTGTGTTCCCGCATTTCTGCCTCCGATATGCTTCCGAGGCTTGCGCATGTGCCCCAAGAGAGCCTCAAGATGCCCCCTGTAGGCGTCCCGAGCGGAGCGAAGGGGTCCCAAGATGCCACAACAGGTTCCTATGACGCCCGAAGAGGCACCACCGAGGCCCCAAAGACGCTCCGAAGAGGCCCCAACAGCTCCCAGGAGTCGCCCGAGAGGTACCCAACGTTGAAGATGTCCAAGAGCCGCCTCAGAGCTCCCAAGAGCCGCCCCAGAGCTCCCAGAAGCCGCCCTGAGAGGCCATCAAAAACCCAGAGGAGGCGGCTCCTATCTCCTCGTCCGTCCCTTCTCCCTGATCCCGCTCTCCTCTTCCCTCTTCCCCGCAGCGTCCTTCCCCGCAGCGTGCTCTTCCCCGCAGCGTCCGATCCAACACCCAGAACTAACTGGTGCCGAAGCAGAAGACAAAGCGACGAAAACTGTGTCAGATATGTTAAGCAGCTCATGTGTTGCGTTAGCATACGCCTGAATCGCTCAAGTCTGATTAACTGTGTACGTGGTCTCTTTACAGCGTGTCCAAGAAAGGACCGACATACAAGTGCGTCGACTCAATGCAGTAACGCGCAAACTGCAGCAAGGTTCAGCGATACTTGTTTATCAGATGATGACTCCGGTAGAACAAGTTGACTCAGGTTATCACCGCCTGAGTAGCGAGGCGGGCGATGAAGATAAGGGGTATGACGTCTGATGTGCCAACCCACCATTGCGTGGACATCTGCCGAGCGGACAGGTGGCTGTGCATCTGATGGATGCATGCTGTAAGTCGCAGCGGCTGCAGGTAAGATCCAGCGGCTCCGCTGAAGCCTTCGCTGCGGCCCGCAACTTGGAAGACCGTTGCCCTACCAGCTCTGCGTTACACGAGCTTAATTAAGGCTGGACCACTTACTCCGACACACATTAAGAACATCTTGGAACTAGGTTGTCTAAGCCTCAAGGTGGCCTTTACCATCGACGCCGAGTCGGTCTTCAATTCTTTACCCAGTGATCCCTTGAAGAAGCCCGCTGAGAGTACCTTGTTGGGCCACATCCGTTGGATCCGGCAGGTGATGGAAACATATCTAGTATATAGCGTGTAGTGGTGTTTCACACGTGGCATAACGGCCGACACCCAAGGCTGCATCGACCGTGTTTATTACAAGGGATGGCAGGTATTGAGTCATTCAACTATGAGGTAAAAAGGTACGTACTTTTTCAGAGGAGGGCGGGCAGCGGCTTCTGTGCCTGCCCCACATCGGCTCGGCGGTTAAGGCGTGAGCGCAGGCATGGACACATGCTTGCTTCCGCCCGGTCACGGGCTACGCGCCTGCCGTTGCTTGGTCACGGGCTTCAGCCTTTTCCGCATCGCGAATTGTGGTGTCCGAAGATCTCTTCGGATACCCACCTCTAACTTTATGATTCAGGTGGACCCACTGCTCGGTTGGAGCGGTGGGCACAGGCTGCGGCGCCAGCTTTCGCAGCACCATGCATTTACACTATGACAGCCTTCTTGCCAACGAAAAAGGTTGTCCGTTATACTGCCTTGTACCTGTTGCTGCTGCTGCATTTCAAATAGAATGTAGCCTGACGCGGCCCGTCGCTCGACCCCCACCTCTTGACTTTGAACGGAGGTCAGAGGCGAGAAATGAGCGACGCGCCCGCGTCCCGATGCCGCTTGGACTCAAGCGACGTCGCTCTACATGACTGCCCCATGCGTGGGGCACTACAACCCCCTGGATTAAAAGTCCGGACCGCAGAGGTAGGGGAAGAAGCTTTGATGTTCGGTTCCCGCTAGGGCCTGGGGCCCCGGCACAATGTTGCAGGGGCCGCCATGGCAAAATTTCTGGTGCATCCTCACCCCCTGCATGTTATAACCGCCAAGTGGGTTGACGACCGGAAATTCGCATTCCGCCCAATAGTTTCACCCAAGAGTTCCCGGTCGCTTTTCAGACGACCAGAAATTTTCAGAGGCCACCGGATTTTGGCGATTCCGCTCAGGTTTTCGTCACAAAAAAATCTGGTCCCATTTATGTTGACTGAAAGTTGCGTTTCTGCTTGGGGCTTCCTGCAAGTCATGTTTACCTCTCTCGGCGTGGGCGATTCTAGACAGAACTTGTTGCTTCCAGTGCTCAGCGCCTTGCGGTGCCTTTCCGTTGTTCGGCGCGCGGGCCTGTCGCGGGGTCATCTCGGAGGCCATGGTCCAGAATCGAAGGTCCAGGAACAATCGAGCGTCGAAACTCCTGGCCCCATCTGATAGCGACGATGCAGGGGGGCCTGCAGTGCCGATCTGGACTGTTTAATCCAGGGGGTGGTAGAGCCTTCGAGTAACGCACAATAAAAAGATCATGGATAGTCATGGGAGGCGTAGAAGATGGTACGGCTTACCACATCCCTAACAGACGGATCTAAACATATCTACACAAATGTATGTATGTATGTATATATATACAGAGAGAGAGAGACAAAAATAGAGAAAAGAGAGAGAGAGAGAGAGTGAGAGAGAAAGAGAGAGAGAGAGAGAGAGAGAAAGAAAGAGCGAGAGAGAGAGAGAGAGAGAAGACAAACAACAAAGAGCAAAGAGAAACAGCGAGAGAGAGAGAGAGAGACAGATAGAGAAATAGAGAGAGAGAGAGAGAGACAGAAAAAGGGATATACACATATATATATATATATATATATGGAGAGAAAATGAGAGGAAGAGAAGACAGAGGAGAGATAGAGAGAGAGAGAGAGAGATAACAAGAGAGAAAGAGAGATAGCGAGAGAAAGATCGATGTGGCCCGTGCTGCCTGCATGGAAGCAGTTTTTGGTCAGAGAGCGCGACGGCTCGACCCGTCCAGGTTCCGTCGCGCTGCGGCGAAGCAGCGAGATCCGAAGACTGCTGCGAGGAGGCCTGGTGATTCCGCGCTGGCATGGCAGTCCGCGGGAGCGGGGGTTCGGGTGCAGCTCCTGGGAGGTCAAATTCTGATGTTGCCCTGGTCCGAAATCCGTCTTAATCCGGCTTGATCCCGCCTAATCCCGCTTAGTCCTGTTTAATCCAGCTTAATCCCGATTAATTCCGAGGACCACTCCAGCGTAACAGCTTCCAAATGGGGCTTAATCCTTCTTAAGCTTTCCGACGAAAACCTCCCAGCAGTTGCCTCCTACCGTGAGCAGAAAGCGGTCGCAAGGCTCAGGGCGACCTTGGCTTTTCTGGTGAATGCCTTCGCCGCGACTGTGTACAACACACCTACGATATGTATGAGCCCCCAGGTGGCCAACACTTCTCTAGAGACAAGAGGCCGTATCGGTGACGTTTGTGAGTCTCTGTTGTGTCCACTGCGCGCGAGTTCGCCGCTCGCCACCTCTGTCTGTAGCCATCCTTATACATGTGAGTTCTCTGATGACCATCTCTTCATGGCGCCGTAGCTTTGACGAGGTGGCACCCGCTGCGCGCCGGGGCCAACGCCGCAGGCCACCAGACGAGAGTGGCGCACGTGCATTTCCAGCAGCAGCGCTGCACTCGGGGATGCGGTCCGGGGGCCCCCTCGCCGAGGGCTCGCGGGGCTTCGGCCCCTCCTGGTCCGGGGACGTTGGCTCTCACCGATCCACATGGGCACTCGGGCACGGAACGGGGGAGGAGGCGGCGCACGGCTTCGGCGCCCACGTCCGCCGCGCCCCGCGCATGTGGCGGCGCGCCCTTTTTGCGTGAGAAAAGGGGCCGAGGCCCGAGAGGCGCGGAGGGGGTGGGGGCGCCTGCCGGGCCGGGAGGGACCGGGGGGGGACGCCGACGGACCACCTCACTGATCCTGGGGGGGCCCGTCGTGGACCCAGTGCCAGTTTCTATACCCTCTTGGTTTGGCCAAGGAGGCGTAGAGACTGGTCACGGGCTCAGGGTGGGCCCAGCCTGGCCAGGATCTGTGAGGTGGTCATTTGACGTCTCCCGAGAGGGAGGCGAAGGAGCCGTTTCGGACCTGTGGGCGCCGGGCGGAGATCTCAGTCGAGCTCCACCATCCCCGTCATGCCGCGGTCAGTTTTTTGGGGGAGAGCCTCGATATCTCGGCCGGATGGGGGTTCCCCCGTTCGCCTCTACGCTTTGCGAACACCCACAGCATCGAGAATGTACCCCCGCGCGGGTGTACTTCTCAGCCGAGCGCAACAGTCGGGGGCGTCCAAGAGGGGGATGCTGACTTGGGGGGGAGATATCATGGCGGGGGCCATGATGTTTCCCAGATTTCATGCCCCTTCTTCCCCATATCCTAAGATGGGGTTCTTGTTATTACTTGGACGCCTCCTACTCCTCCTTCTCCTCCCTCCTCCTCTTTCCTCCTCCCCTCCTGTCGGACTTACTCATACTCAGACTTGCTCATACTCAGACTTACTCATACACAGACTCACTCACACTCAGACAACACACAGCAGATTGTGAGGATGTCTCAGGCGGGGCGCTGGTTTCAGCACCCCTAAGGGGAGCCGCCAGGGGTGGTTGCACGGGCTCGTTGGCGGCCATTTTGTGGGGATGTCTCAGGCGGTTTGCTTGTTTCTGGGCCCAACATCCTTCGCTTGGAGAGCAGATTGTGAGGATGTCTCAGGCGGGGCGCTGGTTTCAGCACCCCTAAGGGGAGCCGCCAGGGGTGGTTGCACGGGCTCGTTCGCGGCCATTTTGTGGGGATGTCTCCGGCGGTTTGCTTGTTTCTGGGCCCAACATCCTTCGCTTGGAGAGCAGATTGTGAGGATGTCTCAGGCGGGGCGCTGGTTTCAGCACCCCTAAGGGGAGCCGCCAGGGGTGTTTGCACGGGCTCGTTCGCGGCCATTTTGTGGGGATGTCTCAGGCGGTTTGCTTGTTTCTGGGCCCAACATCCTTCGCTTGGAGAGCAGATTGGAGGATGTCTCAGCGGGCGCTCATTTCAGCACCCCTAAGGGGAGCCGCCAGGGGTGGTTGCACGGGCTCGTTCGCGGCCATTTTGTGTGGATGTCTCAGGCGGTTTGCCTGTTTCTGTGCCCAACATCCTTCGCTTTCGGAGCAGATTTGGAGGATGTCTCGAGCGAGGCGCTCATTTCAGCACCCCTAAGGGGAGCCGCCAGGGGTGGTTGCACGGGCTCGTTCGCGGCCATTTGTGGGGATGTCTCAGGCGGTTTGCTTGTTTCTGGGCCCAACATCCTTCGCTTGGAGAGCAGATTTGGAGGATGTCTCGAGCGAGGCGCTCATTTCAGCACCCCTAAGGGGAGCCGCCAGGGGTGGTTGCACGGGCTCGTTCGCGGCCATTTTGTGGGGATGTCTCAGGCGGTTTGCATGTTTCTGGGCCCAACATCCTTCGCTTGGAGAGCAGATTGTGAGGATGTCTCAGGCGGGGCGCTGGTTTCAGCACCCCTAAGGGGAGCCGCCAGGGGTGGTTGCACTGGCTCGTTCGCGGCCATTTTGGGGTCGGAATAACGAAGTTATTGCTTGGCACAAATCCGCCCGCGCTGTGAACGACCCCGCGGCTGGCCGCGGGGGCGCCCTCGCTCGGCTGGTCGGCCGCGCGCTGGTCGACCCTCTTCCGCCTCCCGCTCGCGTCGTGTGGTGCAGTGCCGTGCCGTGCTTCCTCCGCCTGGCACTGGGGCGGGATATAAATACCGTGCCGTGTGTCGGGTTTCGGCCCTCCGCCCTCTGGGGGCTTCGCTCGGCCCATAGTGGCTTCCTTGCGGCCCATAGTGGCTTCGTTGCGGCCCATAGCGGCCTGCTGCGTTCACGTGCCCAATGGGGCCCTCTCTTCTGGTCCATAGTGACCACGAGCTGTCGTTGGCACGCTCTCATTCGTCACCATGGCGCGCTGGCATGCAAGCGAGCGGGCTTCAGCTGGCGTGGTTCTCGCTCGTGCCCCGTGGCGCTGTGATTGCGATGGCGATGCTTGCCTTCTTGCAGTCTGACCCTGTTGTGGGCGCGAAGTGGACTGATATCCAGTTCAAGGGCGCCATTGATTGCCTGGCAGCCAATGGGCTGACGATGCCAGAAGAATTGGCCAATCTTCAATTCGGCGATTTGAAGGATGCCGATGGCGCGACGGCGCTGACGAAGGGCGTCCTGCGGCGCGCTCTGGATCGCGCGACGGTGGCGGCAGCCAAGGCGTGTGCGCCGGGTGCCGCGGGGCCTGCGCCGGCTTCGGCGGGTCGTTTCGGTTCGGTTGCTGCAGAATCCTGGGCTCCCGCCGAAGGGAGAGCATGTCGACATCGGCGCTGGCCTGGCCCAGATCAGCTTGAGGGACCTTCCGGAGTCCCTGTGGCCGAGGCTGCCGCGCGGCTTCGCCCCGGCGCGCTGGCGCGTTTCCAACGTTCGCTCAGGTCAGCGAAGACCGATGCGCTGGCCACCGAGGTGCAGCGCGCGAAATCCAGGGGAATCGCGCGCCCGTTCATTTATACTGAGCTCGCGAAGTTCCAGCAGCTTTGCGCGCGCGGCGCGGGCGGCTCTCCCGACGATGACGAGCCCGAGTCGAAAGAGGCGGCCGCGTTGGCCAGAGCGTTCGGACGGGGAACCGCGGCGGAGAGCCAGCCGCTTCTGGCGTGGACGCCATGGCACCAAGCTTACGACGCGTGGAGCGTGGCGGCCGCGGTCACTGATCAGATTTCGTACACGAGCGCCATGGCTCACAAACACGATGTTCTCCAGGCGAGTCGACATTGGCGCCCGTCCGCTGGTCGCCGAAGTGGGCGCGCTTGCCCAGGTTGCACTGGATGCCCCCCTGCAGGGACGGAAGGCCCAGGTTGCCTTGGTCTACGACCGCCTTGTGCGGAGGACGTGGGCCGAGCGTGCCGCCGCCGTCGCGGCAGGCTTCCAGGCCGCAGCTCCGCGCCATGCTTCGGCGCGTTATTCTCGGGCGCGCGTCGGCGCGCAGGTGAACGTTGCGGCGCTGTCGCTTGACGTCGGGCTGCTCCGCGCGGCGGAAGCGGAATATGATCGGGCTCTTAAGGCCGCGTCGCCGAATCCCTTGTTCGCGTTGCGCCACCGCTGTCGCGCAGGTTGCCGCGCCGGCCGGCAAGGGTGCAGGGAAAAGCGCCGCGGCAGCGCGCGGGCAGAGTGCGAGCGCCGCGAGCGCCGCGGGCGCCGTGGGAGCCGCGGGGGGCGCCGCCGTCACTCCTGGAAGAACGACCGCGATTCCAGAGCCGACGGGTGGCAGTCCCGATCCTATCGCGGGGATTACAACAAGCGCTCCTGGGATTCGCGAACGGTGTATTCTCCTCAGAAGAAGCCGCGCGCCTGACGCCCGCCGGAGGCACGCGCAGCCCGCGGCGCGCGGCGATGTGCGGGACGCGCGCCGATGAGGACGTGCATCGCGCGCCACGTTGGCAATTGAATAACAACGAATGGGCGCCAACCTCAGCCACCGTCCCGTGGGACCCGCAGGCGCGCGCGCGCGCGCTGGCAGGAGGGCGCCGCGTTGTTGCCGCGTCGTCCAGGGCTTGGGTGCCAGTCAACACTCGCGGTCCGCTCGCGACGCGAGGGCCGCCCGCCCGCTGGGCCAGGAGGCGCGCGAACGCCCCCGGCAGGCTCGAGCGCACGCGCTCGCAAAGCGCAGGATGCGATGGGGCCCAGTATCGCTGCCACATGGGATTATCAGGCGCTGCGCGTTGTGGCGCGCGACGCTCGCGGGCTCGCGCGCCCGGCAGAATGCTGCCTCAAGTTGCAATGCACGCGGTTGCGCGCTGGCCACTGCCGGCTGCTGTCACCTGCCGTCGCCTGCGTCTGCTGAGGAAGCGCCTAAGCTCGCCTTACTTGAAGAGGTCCTCTCCCGTTCTCACTCCTTCGAGGACAAAGAGGCCTTTGAAAAGGCCGTGGTGGTGCCCGGCGATGTTTTGGCGGCGATCGATTGTATTGCTGCGCGCTCGGAGCGGCAGGTGTGCCGTGAGCGGCGAGCGACTCTCGAGCGAATTCGGGCCAGGGACGCCGAGCTACGCGCCTCTGGAGCGACGGCGGCCTGGTTCGCGGGCTGCGATGCCCATGTGCGCACAATCGCAGTGTCGATCAACGGCCCTCTTCTCGTCGAACTGCTCGACGAAATCGGGTACGAGGACGCGGCCTGCGTGGAAGTCTTTCGGCGCGGCGCGCCTCTCGTGGGCCCTCTCCCGTGCACGGGGAACGGGCGTCCGGAATCATTCCCTGTACCGCTCAGCCTGCCGGACTTGGCCGCGGGCGCGGAGCGAGGCAACGCCGCGCTGCTCGGCACGCTCAAGGAGTCTAGCGACTCCGCCGTGATTCTCACCAAAACTATCGCCGAAGCGGAGCTCGGCCGAATGAGCAATCCCGCGCCGCTCAGCGCGGTCGAGCTCGACGGTGCGGTTTTGTCGCCGCGGTTCGGCGTCCGGCAGTCGAGAGAGGACGGGTCCGAGAAGCTGCGGCTCGTAGATGATATGTCGCGCTCTCGTATCAACGCGGCGTCGCAGCCGACGGAGCGTCTCGGCCAAGAAGCCATCGACGCTCTGTTTGGCACTTGCAAGGCATTTGTGACGCGCGTGGGCGAAGCGCCCGGGCTCTGGAAGGCGGACATAGACGCCGCGTTCCGGCGCGTGCCGCTGTTGCCGGAACATCGCGCCCTCGCATGGGTCGCGTTCCTCGTGGCACATGCGTCTACGTGGCTCAGCACTTCGCCGCCCCATTCGGAGCGACTTCCTCCGTTCACAGCTGGGAGCGCATCGGCGCGATGCTGACAGCGCTGGGCCGCAGGCTCATTTTCGTTC